TATGTCTTCATGTATGAATCTTTTCGATCGAACATGTAAAAAATCAGACATGTAGCATCTGTGGCTTTCAGATCTATCTAGATCCATGCCTTTGTGATGCGTACATGTCTCGAAATGTTATTTCAGTCTTTTATTTTCGATTTGTGACGCGTATATGTCTTCATCTATACATTTTTTCGATCAAACATGTAAAAAATCAGACATGTAGCATTTGTGGCTTTCAGATCTATCTAGATCCATGCCTTTGTGATGCGTACAGGTCTCGAAATGTTATTTCAGTCTTTTTTTGTTGAATTATAATCGTATAGATAAAAAATGGTTCGTCCTTGCTATAATATCATATATGTACCATTTGTTGCGTTAAGATCTGTCAAGATCTGTGCATGTGTGATGCCTACATGTAGTGATAACCCTAGATCTGTTTAGAGCCACAATTTTTTTGTTTAAACATATACAAATATATGACATGCATCAGATTCTGGTTGAGAACTGTCCAGATCAATTCAACTGTGATGCTTACATATTTGAATATATGATTCAGTCCTTTTGACATGTATAAATTGATACCATGGATCATTAGTTTGGATTGGATTTGTTTATGAACATGCATTTTTATGTGTGTTTTAACTCTACTGCACCAGAATTGGACCTTGGGCCTTGCCTATTCAAATTCCCTGCCAGCCATATAATGGCCTTCGGATCTGCGCGGTTTAACAGGCGGTTTAACGACCCAATGTCCATTTACTGATGTGCCAACCAATGTTTGTACCTAAATTGTTTTATTAATTTAAACTCAAAATATAGTTTTTGTAATACCTTGGTTAGCTAAGTCTTCATTTGCCCTCTTACGGTTGATTATTGTTGATTTGGTCAGCCTCTTCATATCTAAAAGGGACCTTTAAACATTACCTGAATTGATGACATTGATTAATTATTGTTCACATATCAGCTGTTGTTTAAATATCATGCATCATACATACCATTGATTACGGCTTTTGCAAGCACTCATATCATTAATGATTTATCATTCATTCATAAACTCATACATTCAAACATAACACATCTGCTAGAAAGACATGTAAACACGACAAACGCATTTCTCATGCATGACACACATGATTCGTTACATATTCTTAGTCAAGTCTGCATGTAGTCATCCATTTAAAAGAAATGCCTATGATCATATCATCATTAAAGTACTTGCAATTCAACTTCAAAATCCTATCAGACTTTCGTGGTATGATAGGAGATGCATCCAGCCATGCTGCACAATCTTTGCATAAGTAGTCAACACTGTTCCTTTTCTTGTTTACTTGCTTCATGCAGAAAAAGTGACTATGATTTGAGTTACACCATGAGCATGCATCCAATAGGATTCCCACACAACGTTTCCCACACGTATAGCATCCCCCAGTTGAACATACATGACATGAACACTCACTCATCTTGAAAGGCTAGAATACGAAGTAGGTTATGTAATATTAAATTCACACTCAAAATGCATAACATGTCATTCACGAAATGTGCGTTGTTCATTCAGTCTGCATAATCAAATGTTTTGAAAGCATATGACAAATATGATATCTGACTTACAGTTGATAAGAAATGAATGCGTTGTGGTCCGTATATGAACTTCACACCTTGTGCGGGATGCTCTGCTTCCAAGGTTTGGTATGCCTCATTAATGAATTCTTGAGGTAGTAGCTGAAGCCATAAAGAGTATTTATGTTATCCAGTTGCTTTGATACTCAAATACTCGGTACGTATCTATACCCCTTCACACTTTTAATATGACTGGTCTGAGATTATAATAAATGCACCTTGGGAACACTCGATTTTCAACCACGTTGACAGACTATTAATTGCCACCTCGGGAACAATCTATTTTCAACAACTTCGGCCATATTTAGTATTTAGAACATGTGCTTTCAATGGCGGTTTTCAAAAAGTCTATACTCAGCTCTAGTCTTTGGTAAATTTTCGTATATTCATCAGAACTCCTACATTGAAAATTTCTACTGATTTAATTTATTATATTATTATATGCATTATCATTTAAACTTATTTTAATTGATATATATATATATATATATATATATATATATATATATATATATATAAGATTCTATATATTTAAAGTTTTTTTTTGTACGGCCTGCGTGTTATACATATACATATAAATGTATATTCAATATAACACAATAATAGGCCAATATCAAATGTGCTCAAAATATTACGATATTTTATGGTAAAAAACATAAATTCAGGTTCTTTTATACTTTCAATTAATATTGAGTCCAAGTAAAATGACTTCGGTAATTTAGAATGATATAAGGTAAATCGGACATGACTTTATCTCAGATCAGTTTTGATAAATTGAACCAATGTTCCCTCTATGTTTTTCAACTAATTTATATAGATTCTCTTATACATTCTGGTAAACCATATTCACTCTACTGAATGATAAAGTATGATTTATTTTGAGCACACATTAACTATTTATTTTAAAGTAAATCAACTACTTAAAGTAAATCATATTTTGAACACATTTGTTTTGGGTTTTTTATAATCCCCAGAATATACTCAACTTATTAAAAGTAATAAATCTATTATTTTTAATCAAATCCACTGTTGTTAGCACTTCTGAAGTTTTATATGTGTTAAATAACACTTATACCTGAAACAATAACTTACTATGTTTTTATTGCTTCTCATGTATGAGGATAATCTATTTTTGCTACACGTTTCTTTGTGAACCAAGAAATGTACTGTGGTTTTTAAAATCATTTTTTTTGTGAACCTACTGTGGTTTTTAAAATCATCTGTTTTTAAAAAAATGTACATATTTCCCTTAATATACGTAGAAGTCCTCTGCTGTTATAACTTCTGAAATTTTTCTAAAATTTTATGTACACAATAATTTTATGTCCCAAACATTATTTCTTACTCTGTTTTTATTACTGAATGCAGGTGCTTTGAGGATGAATCAATTTGTTTTATAGTATTTTATGAATGTAATTCGTAGGAATTGGGGCCTTAATTTAGGTGCCCTTGTATGTAATAATTATATTAGATTTAGGATTGCAGGTCAACAAATCTTCACCAGGTATGTATCCGTTAACCTCCTCTTTTTGAACTGTTGTGCATATTTGCATGATATCAGAAATGACCAAAACATTGAAGTAGCAAATAGTGTTTATATGCCAACCAAATCTGGACTTGATACAAATATTTTTGTTAAATCATTTTATTATTTAAAATTCTATACTGTTTTACATAGCCCCGTTTGTGATCCTAATTTTTTTGATTTAAGACAAATTATCATCGTATGACTATGATTTCAGTACTGAACTAATTTTCCATGTACAGAATGTTACACTTTAACATGCCATATATTACAAATGACACTATTTGCTGCTTCATGTAGAGGTTGCACTTTCACATTCTTTCAGTTTTGCTCGTTTGGATTCTCCTGTGATGTATTGCCCAAATGTAGTTGCGTCTAAGAATAATCCCTTCCTGCACATCATAGTCACGACCAAACAGATATACCAAAAACATTTTCAAAATTATAACAAATCATAAGGTTAAGCATTATAGGTCTCAACACCAAGTTTAGCAAAATTACAGTTGTAGCACGAAGTTTAGCAAAATATAGTTAATATTACAGGCCCAAATAATAAGTTTAGCAAAATAGAGTTTTAGTAGCAGAATGATTTTAGAAAAATAGAGTTCTAGGTAGCCGGTTCCTCTGGTCACATTGTTTAGGCCTTCTCCTGCTTGACTCGGATCCTTCTCTTGTTGGTGTTGATGTTTGCTGAAAACTGATCAAGCAGGTTCCTATTTACTACATCATTCCCTCCTATCACAACTCGTTTCCCTTTTGCTGATGCAGTAGCTTCCTCCACCACTCTATCCTTGTCCTGAAAAATGTAATGAATTAAGTTAAGCTAGTCGTTTGATTTTTTTAATTAACTGTGACTACACTCTGAAAAATTTTGAGTATCACCTTCTCCAATCCCATCTCGGCTGCTTGAACTTGAATAGGCGTAGAAGCATTCTCATCTTCTGTCACGACAGCCTATAAAAACATAATTCAAGGGTTAGTACAACTTGTCACCATCTACCTTGTTTTTCAATGTAAATGACACCCTTACCTTATCTATGGAAAGACCTTTTCTTATACCGCTGTCATTTTCTCCCTCCAAGTGATCATTAGCATCAAAATCACTCTGTCATTATTGAATAAAATCAGCAAGGCAGTGCGTCCCAAAATTTAAAAAAACTTCAAAATATTAAAACCTTTTCCTCTTCAGTTAAAATTTCCGGTCCTTTTGCTTGTTCAGATGCGTTAACATAAAGCGCCAAAATCGTAGGGTCCCTGATCATGGCGACAACCCCATAAGAAAGAGGTCCTTGATAGGATGAACTTTCTGCTCTGGTTTTGACCTGGACTTTGAAGAGTCCCTTCTGGTCTATCAGTGCCTTGATATCCTCTGGAAAATGTTGAGCATCTCCTGTTTTCTGCAACATTTTCAAAAAATCATTTTAAACTTTCTCATGAATATATCTAGTCAACTTGGGAAAACATTATGTGTCGTTGTACCTTTTCAACTTCCTTTCTGATGGCAGCTGCTGTTTTTCCGATCACTTCAATGCATTCCTTGTCCCAAAGGGTAAAAGATGCATGTCCGGAGTCATCCATGATGCAGACGGGAACTTTATACCTTAGGGTTCCTCCTGGAAGAGATATGTTGCAATTGTTGCACCTAAACCTGTCATCTTCGGGCTGGAGTTTTTTGTTGCACGTAGGGCAGCTTAGATAACACCACTCTCTGTAGTTGTCGATAGAAACAATATCTCCCAAAATCCAATAGGTGCCATCCTGCATTAGGCAAGAGAATGACAAAATATTAGACAACAATAATATATTTGTTGTGCGTTTGGTCTAAGGCAAGATTTAGGTACCTTTGCATCATCCAAGAATTCACTTATCCCTATGATTTTTGCATTTCCTCTCAGTACTTCTTCCATGTCGTGGCCTATGCTATTTCCAGTGAAAGTGGTCACTGTAGCTACCTCCTCATTTTCTGGTCCAAATCTGTCAAGTTAATAAGTAGAATGAGACTAGGCATTCCTAGTGGTTAGTTTATCTAACATGGTGTTCATCTGGTGCGTACTGTGCCTTGAAGTCCTCAAACTCTGTTGACGTTCCATTCATGATCAACTTAGATATGTCGTAGGAAGTAGACACCAACACCGATCCTGAATTGCCATTAAAAAATAAATGAGCATTACATGTGTTTTCATAGACTTATTAAAATATGATTATTAAATAGACTACCTTGGTAACGCTTTGGTCTGCACATTTGAAGAATTATGTAAATTGCTTCATTCTTGTGCTCTGCGTAAAAGTCACAGAATTCTTTGCAGTAGTTGTTCCATAGCGTGCCTCGTATACGGTTACCCCTATATAAGACCATTAGGTTAAATCCTTTTGAAAACTAAAGCCATAAGTTAAAATTAATTAGTTAAGCACTTTTACTAACTCTGGCTTGCCATTTATCACATGCGTCTGTGGAGGTGTTTTTCCAACAATCTTTCCAATTACATCTGACATAGGATAACGTGAAGTTATACATTTGTTTATTATACATTTCGTAATATAATAGTACCAACAGCCACTCTAAAAATTTATATTTAAAAAGGTACCTATCAACAGTTTATCGTTCACAACCCTTAGGCTCTGCAGCATGTCGAACTGATGAAAATCATACATGAAATTCGGAAAGTTTTCTGAAGGGTGGTCGAAAACTGCGGTTTTTTTAATAAATTCCAGAATATATGGGTGCATGTAGTTTTGTACGTATAGTAATTGTCGAGCACCAAAAAGTTTTTTATCCTAAAACATTGGTTTTCCAGCATCCTCGATTTATACAGGTGCATAAGGGGTCTCTTAATCAATGCATGTATCTTTTCACCCTACATTAGTAAAAAAAAAAAAGCTTATGAATATAAAATCCGATGTCAATGAAAGTAAATGGAAAAAACGCAAAAGCATAGTTTACCTCCTCGTCATGGAAAACAACCTCCATTCTTGGACCTCCTTTAGTTTGGGCAGACATTTCCACGGCCCTCACAACTCGAACTTTGAGTGCCCATGTTGATCTGGTATGATCAACGTCCCTTATCATTGAGTACAATGTTCTGGGAATTTCGTTAGGGTTTGTTGCCATGTTGAGTGAAGGGAGTGAATGAAGGGAGTGAAGGGAGTGTTGGTTTGAAAACATCCGATGTCAGCTTTTATAGGCAAACGATATGCATAAGTTTGAACACCCAACTACCACATTAAATGCTCAACCCCCAACTACTTCATTAAATGCTCTAAACTGATTCGTTTGACCAATACATCGGACCCAACAAAATCTTAAAAGCAAATGTTGAATCTTTCATTGGTTCCAGCAAAATTCAAGCCAACCAAATTTAATAAATGAAGTGGACCCCAGACCTGCGATCCGTTGCATGTATCAATATTAGAGAATCTTTCATTTAAACAAAACTTAAAGCCATACATCGGACCCAACAAAATCAGATACAGTGAACCCAACAAAATCTTTTCTGCAAATGCTGAATCTTTCATTGTTTCAAGCAAACAAAAATCAATAAATGAAGTGGACCCCAGACCTGCTGAAAGTTAAAGTAAAATAAGTCTTTGATGAAGTGGACCCCGTTGAGAGCACATTGTTTGGGCGGGAAAAGTGGTTGGCTTCCCACTTCGTTTTGTATATAGAAAGATGCTAAAAAATACAGAAAATAGTAGAAAACATAAAGCACTACATAAAAAATGCAAAAGTGCAGCCAAAGGATGCATGAAAATCTGCAGAATTGCAGGTCCATGTTACAACCATACAACCGACAACAGACACTCAAAGAACAGCAAAAAATCCTTCAAAAATAGCAAGAAAATGTGTAAAACTGCAACGAAACATAGGCAACTATACATGTCTTAGAAAAATGCTAACAACTTTATACGAAAATTGTTTATTTACCTGGCCTGTCGAACTATTTCCTCGAGAGATTTACAATTTTAATCCTGTAACTTTCGGCTATTATCGTTATTGGTCCCGTAACTTTAATCACTTGCATATTTGGTCCTGTAATTAATAATTTTTTGCAATTTAAGGACTTTTGCACCGGAAAGTACACTTTCCAGCATAAAAAATCGACGCCAGCAACATATTTTCCGATATACTATCGCCAAAAAGTATACTTTTCAGGGAAAAAGTCCTTAAATCGCTAATATTTATTAGTTACATGGCCAAATTTGCAAGTGACTAAAATTACGGGACTAATAATGAAAACGATCAAAAGTTACGGGATGAAAATTACAAATTTCCCTATTTTCTCCTTCCTGTAATCTAGCACCATCGTCACTTTGTTAATTTTTTCTTAAGCAAGCCCATGTATTCAAATTAACATTGCATTTTTTTACATCTTTCAATTTTTTATGCCACCTCAATTTTTTTTTTGTAGTTAGTTTTGATAAGAAAGTCACCACTTCATTTGGCAACTATAGTTGCCAACTATAGTTTAACTTAGTAGTATTTTTGTAAACACTTTTAATCCGACTTTAATTTCATATTTTTTTATGTGACATTATTTTGGGGACAAAAAACTCATGGATCTAACGTCTGGCCGGTAGGATTCCCTACCCATTAAATTCATTAAAACTTTGTTAGTTTTGAAAGAAAATCGTCTACATTTATATCATTGGATTCATAAACAATCCATCAATCAAAGAAAAATCATACCTGACACAAACTAACATCTACCAATTACCAGGGGCGGAATCAGAGCATTCGGACGGACTGGGCCAGTACAAATAATATTTTTGGAAAAAAATTTACATGATTTTTTACACTCAAAATCTAGAAAATTTTAAAATTTAGGCTAGGTCGGGTCCTAGGTCGTTGGCTCCCTAGCTACTATACACCTCTGCCAACTACAACTATAAACCCTGCGATTACACATATAAACGATCACCTCTGGAAGAGAATCACGAATCGCTAAACACGAATCGGACTTGACACATCTATCAGTGATCTTATTGATGTGCTTACTTCACACGACATAAAAATAAGCTAAATTTTCAATCAACTCGATAAACCTAGCAACAAAGACTTTAGCAAGAAACCAAAGAACAAAATAACAATAACTAATAGGATAAACTTCTCGAACTCTAACACCTCGTTCAACTCTAGTACCATTGTGATTGATCTTCCATCGCCGTCCGAATTCTGCTCCGTCGATCATAGCCATCATCTTTTTTTGCTTTCCCACATCGACATACCCACCCAAGTATGTGGATAGTCTTCCTGCTCCTTTGCTACGCAACACTGCCACACCATGACCGCCTTGACCTCCCCTCCATCCCATGTGAGGATGAGCCTGGACGATAGCACATCGTCGGGCTCCCCAGGAGATCTTCGAACTGTGGCAGCTATGAACACCCCAAAGCATATCCCCATTGCTGTCGTCGACCTCCCAGTATCCAAATAGAAAGAAATTGATTCAGTCCAAAGAGAAAGAATTGGTATATTATACATCCGGCTGTACGGTGAGCACCGTACAGCCGGCCCAACAATGAACAAAATAATATGCAGCGAAACAGGCCCATAATAAGTCCGTAAGTAACAGGCCCAAAGAAAAAATAGCAAAAGAATTTGGTGGCATTTTTGTAATTAATGTTAAAATTGTGGTTTCAACTAAATGAGCATTGGTGTACTGTTAATGAGCAATAGTCCAACTTTAATGAGAATCGTGCTATTACAAGAAAGCTGATATCACAACTAAAAAACGGTGGCATTTTCGTAATTTCAGTGAAAATTGCGGTTTTCGTTAGATGAGCATTAATACACTTTTAATGAGCATCAAACGTATTCTACTAAGCATAAAGAGTCGAATAATGAGTATTGTGATATCAACTTCATATATTGTAATTCACTTTCTTTTTCTTATTTTTTCTTTTACAAAAACTTATTAAATTATATCTATAATGAACTTTTATGAACTTCAATATGCGAATCTAATGTAATATGGTACTTTTGAAGTTGCATTGATATGACATGATTAAAAATGAGCATAACATAAGTATCAAATGAGCATATGTAATTTACGAAATGAGCATTAATATGAAAATCATAAGTTTTTTTGTTGAGAATCAAAACATTTTCATTGACCATCAAAACTCCTCGATCTATCGATTATTAGAAACATGAAATTGAGTATCATGGTCTGTGCTCCTGTATCTATAATCACCTCCTATGTGAATCCAATATAATATAGTACTTTTGAAATATGCATTTACATAACATTTTAAAATGAATATAACACGAGTACGAAATGAGCATAACATCAGCCAGTACCAAATGAGCATTAAGATTTACCAAATGAGCAATGATATATGAATCATAAGCTTTCTTAGTTGAGTATCATGACATTTTCATTGAACATCAAACATTTTCTAATGAGTATCACAAGCATGCAATTGACTATCATGATCTCTGATCTCATGTATATAATCTAACTCTTATGCTAGTTTAATATTATAGTTTTGAAATATGAATTAATATGACATATTGAAATGAGCATAAATCACTACGAGATGAACATAAGTAACTTACAAAATGAGTATCGAAAAATTCAAAAACTCGTTTGAATTCTGTGTTCAAATGTTCGTTGGTGCATATTTATTTTACACTATACTCATTTTAGCATATCACAAAACTCATGTTACTCATTAACACATAATATTTAATACTAAAAAATATTTATCTTAAAATTTAAAATAGAAGAGTACAATATTAACACCTAAAATGTTTTATAATGCAAAAAATTTTAAAAAATTAAGTTAGAAGGTTGATTGAAAAAAGAAACAAAAAACTTGAACATTGTAATAATATTTTTGAAAGATTGTATTAATATTTTATTGTATACATTTTCATAATAATTGAATAAAAAGTTAAAGCAAAAGGTTCTTGAATAAAATACGGAGTAGTAAAGAAAAAGAAAGAAAACAAAGAAAATGATACTACCTCCGTTTCGAAAAGGTTTGCCAATTTGACTTTTCTTGGTCAATGATGACAAACTTTGAACAATGATTTTAGTTATTATATTTGTATATAATTTATAAATTTTATACTTTTATGAAAATATTTTCAATAAGGAATATTTTGATATAATTTTCATAATCTAAATAATTTCGTATTAAAATATATCATTGGTCAAAGTTGATTGTCATTGACCAAGAAAAGTCAATTTGACAAACCTTTTCAGGAAGAAGAGGGTAAAAGAAACTTAGTTAGGTACGTAAAACACACCAAAAGAAAAAAGAAAATAAAAAAGAAAGTTAAAAGTCAAAACAAAGAAAGTGGCCAGGCCGAACGGCTCATAAAGAAACTAAGCTAAGAAAAAGGATGCATTCTAACTATCAACCTCTAACTTGGACTTAATTACAAAAATGTCGAGCTGTATCATGCTCTTTGCATAATCGGTTGTACAATGTAATTTACCGTGCTCCTGCCATCGAAGCAATCGGTAAAATAAAAAACAGGGGAAAGAAAACTCACCAAACAATTAGGATGTTTTTACTTGGACTGTAATTCAATCCAGACCAGATCAGACCAGACCAGTTCAGACCAGTTCAGACCAGACCAGACCAGACCAGACCAGACCAGACTTAGATAGTTATAGAAATACAAAGAAACCACACCAGAACAGACGAGACCAGACCAGACGAGACCAGACCAGCAAATTACAATCCAAGTAAAAACATCCTTAGTCAGCACAAACCT